ATTGGCCTGATAGGCTGATGTTTGTATGGTAAAGGGAACTCTCCTGCTATGTGCTGGATTGCTTAGAAACAGCATTGGGTTTATCCAGCTGTTCCCAAGTGGACGTGAGTGGAAGGAGGCAGTTGCCTTCCCATTCCCAGGTAGATTAGTATTGTGTGGTCTGGGAGATTTTCCAGCTCCGGGAAAGGAGGCAAAGAGCAGGTGGCAGCAACCCTACCATGCAATCCTACCATGCAAAGAGCTTGCAATACGAACATCCAATCTGCTTTTAAAAGAACTGTAAAATAACTTGCAGCAGTTTTTACAGATAGCTGTTTCTGTCATGTACTGTAGACTTTTGTATGCAATTGTCCTTGATATACATTACACTGATGAAAATTTCCAAGAAACATTTTATTACGTTTGCTCGTTTGCTATTTTCCTTGAAGTGTAATTTTGCAATGTACATTTTTCACTGTAAGCTCTTGAAGTTTTTTATAAAACTACCCCTTTCTGTTTGCAGCTTTCAGAAACGTATCTTTTTCTTCCAGAGTGTCTCTTAAAAGGTGCTTTTTTATGTGAACTTTTTACCAGATAGATAGAAATTAGTAGTCGCCAGGCAAAGCTCTACCTGTCCCATAAGCAGTCTGTTTTGACAGATGTTCCCTATTTTTTAAAAATGGGACTTCATTTACTCTAGAGATATGGAATTTATGGACACTTTGTGCTCCATTAACATGGCTTTTCAAAAGCCTCTGTTTTTGTCATCAGATAAGACTGAAGTCAAAAGCTAGGTAAAAGGCACAGCTGAGAGCACAGTATAAAAGCTCTAGTTCATGGAGTAGAAATACGTCCCAACAGTGGCCTTGAGGCTATTTAAGTGACATATATTTTGGTTGTGCATTGGAGGGGGGGAGTATTTCTGAACATAACTGGTCATTCCTCTCTCTTTCTCTCTCTCTCTTCCCCATTCCTCTCTCCTGGCTCACAGGTTTTTCAAAAACCAGCCTGGCCCCTTCTCCCATTTTACAATCTCTCCAGCAGCCGCCAACTCTGCTACGCCTTTCTCCAGAATCCATAGGGCCTGTCTTGCCCCCCAGGGGTTCCCCTCCTTCCCCAGGACTTGCTCCCTCAAGCGTACCTGGAACCCCATCTCCTTCCCCACTCCTTCCCATTCTTTCCGTGCTTCCACCTGCAACTTCTCCCACCTCCACATCTCCTCCTCGCAGTTCAACTCTTGGCACCTCCTTCTGGCCCAGAACTGCTAGGCCTTCTCTGCCAGTGAGCCCTCTGCCACCACCTCTGCTGCAAAAGAAGGTCAGCCCATCCCTTCCCCCAAGCCCTTTGACTCCCTCAGTTCCCCCTGATGCCCTGCCATCTGGCTGCTGGCATGGAGGGGTTCTTCATGAAAATAGCAGCTACTGGACTGAGTCACCATGTCTGAATTGCTCCTGCAAGGTATGTGGCATATTTTGAGTTCCTAGCCTTCTCTCCAACTTCAAATATTATGCTGGTGCTGCCTGTGTTGTCTTATTTCAGGGTGGGCAAGTGTTTTGTCGAGCAGTGACATGTGAAGTTTCCTGTTCTCACCCAATTCCTCCAGCCCAGGGAGAGTGCTGTCCTAGCTGCACAGGTAAGGGAAGTACCCACTAGATCAAGGCTGTATATGTTTGTGTGAGACCGGAACATGTGGACCTTCCCCAGTTCCGGCCCTAGGGAATTTTCACCATATACCCCCTTCCCACTCAAATGACCCAGAAACAGTCGCTAGTTTCTGGAACCTGGCTTTGATAAGTCCCCATTCCTATTTTTATTCAAGTTTTTGTCTCCTGGGAATTATGTAAAAGTTGAGTTTCTGGAACGGCCATGCTTCATGGATCATCTCATTCCCTAGGGTATCTGAAAGTTGGGCAGAAGGTAGATGCATCTTCACTCAGACAGGTGCCATGTCTTGTGCAACCTGTCATTTTGCATAAAAGGTAAATGGCCCTGTGAGTTGAGCTTGACTTCTGGTAATTACATGGATAGGGCCATGCAGCTTTGTTGGTAACACAATAGAAGCACTTGGCATTGCCTTCTTCTAGGATTTTTTTTTTTAAAATTTTTTGGTCTAATCCATGCCCTTGGATTTTCTTGGTGGCTTCCCATCCAAGAGCGATCCAGATCCAACTCTATTTAGCATTGTGGAGATCAGCAAAGATGATGGCACCTGAGCTAGGCATCATTCTGCATACAGCTGTTAGCAAATTATAGGATAGCTTTGAGGGTTTTTTTAGATCATCTTTAATCTAAAGCTAAAAAATTGGCATTATCCCACCAAATTTAAAGTAAAAAAGATGTATTGGTCAAATTCTCATGAGGTTTTCAATAATATCATCTTTAGATTCTAGTATTGCTTGAACCTTGTGAGGTTTGGCAATTTCAGCCATTTTTCATTTAGCAAATTTATTTCTTTATTAGATTGACATCCCATCTTTTCTTCACTTGTTCAAGGCAGGATACATAGCATCCCCTTCTTCTATTTTTTCCCCACAAAGCAATCCTGTGAGGCAGGTTGGGTTGAGAGAGTAACTGGCCCAAAGTGAACTTCTATTGCTGAGGGTGAATTAGGTGAATCACAATGCACCCTAGCTCTCAATCATTACGGACATCATCTGGAATATCACAGATCTATCATGGTGCTCACAAACATTCCTTAACCTAGCCTTCCTTTAACCTAAAAAACAGCTCTGAAGTCTTAAAAAAAAAAAAAAGGAATGGACACAGCAGAGTAGAACAATCTTTCTCAACCTGGTGGCCTTCTCTAAGCCTGTTGGGCCTAATGGGAGTACATATACATATGGTGGTTTGCATGTTGGGGACAACTGAAATAGAGCTTTTAACAGTGTGCATTAGCCAAGAGGTGCCTTGGACTATATGTGACTTGCAAATTGTGATATTGTTACAAGTGTTTTCATCTATGGAATACTGGAGAGCATCTAGCAAAAGTCTTTGAAAATGTCTACATGCTGACCACGGAATCTTTCCCAGTTAAGAGAAAGGTAAAATGGGGCTGTCTCCCTTAGTTCTTGTCCCTTCAGAGGTTCTTCTCATTCCTGTTTCCTACAGGCTGTTTCTATTATGGGATGTCCAGAGTTGAAGGGGACGTATTCTCTCTCTCTGAGGAGAACTGCACAGTCTGTGTCTGCCTGGTGAGCCTCGCAGAGTCCCAGGGAATTGGGGCTGGTCTTCTTTCTTTGAGGACATATAAATAACTATCTGCTAATACTGATATCTTTAGATGGAAGTGAAGCTTCAAATAATGACTGTTGCTTTTGCTACGAGCCAGCTAACAACATTGTATTGAAGCTTGTAAATGTCTTGGTGGACATCTTTTTTTAACCAATGGTCCAGAAAATGGGGTTGAATTAAAAGAAGGAACTAGAGTTGCTGCTGCTGTCCCTCCTCCTCCTCTTTTTTTACTTTATAGCACAAATTGTTATCCAATTTAACATGCAGTTTCAGACCCACAAATGATTTTAACTGGTCTCTATAGCCATATCTTGGGTCACTGATTATCTACTGTTTGTCAAAGATGCCAAGTTTCAAAAACAAAAGTACAGAAAGAGGGGAGAACAGTGCAATAGTGGAAGAGAAAATACTAGCCAGATTCTATCAAACTTGGATTTTCCTTTTGCTTTCATGCCACCCAGTCTCCTTCTATGAACCTGGATATTCAGAGGCACGTGCAAGGAGTGTGCCCTGTGTTTTCAATCCTGTGCAAGGAACCCACAGGCAGGAACAGGAGATAGTGTGTTACTACCCTTCCCCCATTGCCCTCACAAACAATGAAAGGAGCCCCTCTCACTACAAGCTGTACTCTCTTCCTTTTCAGCCTTCATTGTTAGCATTCTTATCCACATAACCACTGGGATGCCTGTCTCCAGTGGTTGAAGTCTGCTATCCAGGAAGAGTGCATAGAATTGATTGGGTGAGCAGAGTCTTTCCAAAGGGTGATTTTGTATGTGAGACGCACTGAGACTCATTCCCAGCCACATCATGGCTGGGAGCAATACTAATCCTAATGTTAGGCGGTAGGTGTCATGAAAGGGGAGCATACCCTCCTGTGTTAAATGTATTGATATTGTGTTTATTGCCAAGGAGAAGCTTGTAGGATCTCTCTGTCCCAGGGCCCAA